AATAAGTGTTACTATTTTTACTCACATATATATGTAGTTGCTTTGGGTCCTAGATGGCTCAGTTGTCAAAATAAAATCGTAAAAGTAAAATTATAATTGAATTGATAAATTTTTTCACAAAGCTCAAAACCCTGAATAAGATTTGAAAACAAATTCTAATTAATCCAACTAAAATAAATTGTACTACTAAATAAAATAAATTTAATCAATTCGAATTATTTTGGTTGAAGTATGCAACTCATCTTTACAGAAAGTGCTAATAAAAAAGAATTTTGGGAAAATATGTGCATTCTAATGAAAATTTAAAATCCTCAAGATGCGACAAAGGTTCTTATAACTTTGTTTTTTTAATCACTGGTTTTTTTGTGTTACATGTGTGACGTTTATGGTAAAAAACTTTTCTAAATAAGGATATAAAAATTCATTGCATCATGAAAAAAAAAACTATTTCTCATAAGCAATATTTTTATGTTTAGTCAACACAAGTTTTAAAATTCTAATTACAAAAATAGAAAAAAAAGTGTACGAATTAAATTTTTAGAACTTAATGACTTGAAAGAGTTCTCAATATTACATAAAATTTAAAATCTGAAAACTAGATAAAAAAAATCTGATGTGGTCAGCACATAACCGACCGCATTGTGTATTGTCTAGTTAAATGAAAGTGTTACAGAATATTATAAAAATGTCTGTTAAATACTTCTTTCCAATTTTTAGGACATTAGTAAGCTTATAGTTAACATGCTCGCCAGTTAGTTTCGGTAACAACCCGAACTCAAATATCAAATTTCAAGAAATTCCATCAATTTGTTCTGTGGATATGGTGAAAAATGTAAAATCGGCCCGCAAATCAGTTCTCGAGCCCTGATCTTTCCAAAAAAGTTATATGTTCATTGCTTTAATATGAGGAATTCATATATTAAATTTCAATGAAATCGGTTGATTATTTCTTTTTATATACACAAAAGTGTATGTTTGGCCCGTAGTAAACGCCCAGTTGCTGATGCCTGATTTCTTCCAAAAGTTAGGAATTTTTGCGTATGATCGAGCAAAGCTTATATATGAAATTTCAAGTAAATTGGTTGAATACTTTCTTCAAAATGGTGAAAAATGTAAAATCGGCCCGCAAATCCGTTTTCGAGCCCTGATCTTTCCAAAAAATTTATATGTTTATTGTTTTAATACGAGGAATTCAAATATTAAATTTCAATGAAATCGGTTGATTATTTCTCTTTATATACACAAAAATGTATATTTGGCCCGTAGTAAACTTCCAGTTGCTGACGCCTGATTTCTTCCAAAACATAGGAATTTTTGCGGACGGTCGAGCTGAACTTATATATAAAATTTCAAGTAAATCGGTTGAATATTTTCTTCAAAATGTTCAAAAATGTAAAACAGGCCCGCTAAAAAGTGCAGTTCCCGAGGCCTGATATATACCAAAAGTTGATCGATCCGTGCCATGGTGGAAACAAACTTACATATAAAATTTCATCAAAATCGGTTCAGCCGAACTTGAGATACACGCGTGCACACACAGACCGACAGACGGACAGACCGACAGACCGACAGACCGACAGACCGACAGACCGACAGACCGACAGACCGACAGACCGACAGACCGACAGGTTGCTAAAAATAGTTTATTTACACTTCCCTACTATGGAGAAGTACGTTCCCACCGAAAACTCGATATGCAAAATTTGTTGCCATCACATAACCTACCTATTGTTTATACAATACGGTCGGTAATAATTTGATGTGATCAGCACATTACCGACCAGCAAATTGTATTTTCAAGTTTAGTGGAAGTGGTATGCATGGTGAAGAAAATGTTCTTTAAAAATTTGCATTGATTTATAAGAAAACGAGTACACACAAAAATGAAAATTTGAATTCTTAGCAGAACTTTAATATTGGGAAGCCGATTTCCCGATTTCCCTGAAAAGTTTATCAATTAATTTCGTTGACAAACAAAATTCAAATAGTAAATTGAAAAAAATTCGTCTAATAAGTTTTTTAGATGTGGAAAAAATTATAAATTTGACTTTTAGTAAAGTCTATAGTACCTGACTTCCTTGAAAAACTGACTTGTCGCACTATCAGTCGAATAAATAATTAAAAAAATATGTTTGATATTTTTTCAAAAATAATCAAAATTGTAAAATCCGATAACACATTTTATATCATGAAAGTGATAAAAATAAAGTGAGATACAAATTCAAGTTGAGATACACGAGTGCACTCACATATAGGTTAAGAGGCAGAATGACCGAAATTTTGTTCAAATTTTAGTTTACATTTCTCTCTTAAAGAGTTGAAAATCGACAAAACCTGTAATGATCACAATACTTCCCTCATTGTATGCAATACAGTTGTTAAAAAACTTGTGTAATTTCTCTACAATTCATTACTTCCATTCTTTTTAGAAAGTCAACGACTCCATATTTTGTGGTGCAAATTAACATTTAGTAAACAAAAAACCAAAATTATTTTACGTAGATAAACAGATGAAGTTGTGAGTTTTTGTGTGATTTTTTTTTTGTTTTTTATGCAATGTTGAATAAACATTTATTGTTCTTAAAAATTTCCTCCTCCATTTTAATTTTCTGTTTTTGTATTTTCTTTAGAGACAATTTAGTTATTAACACAACACAATGCTTCTCCATGTGTAGGTTTTAAAATAAAAAAGCGAATAAAACATTTCCTTTCATATTTTATAATTTATGATTTCAGAATTACAATGAAAAACAGAAACTAATATTTCACTTATTTTTATGTTTTTTTTTTTTCGTTTTTCAGGTGAAACCCAGAAATAAAAAAGCAACAACACAAAAAATAAAAAAACAATAATAATAAGCAAGAGAAAGAGAGAGAGAGAAGGAAAATCAACAAAAATTTAAAAAAAATACAAACAATACAAAAGTGCCTTAAAGGGAAAAAATTACAGTTAGTCGGAAGTGTTAAAATTCCGTCCAGCGTTTATACAACATTAAGGTGGAGAGCAAAACAAAAAAACAATTCGACATTTCTACAAGTGAAGTTTTGCAGAAAAAAAAGAAACACAAAAAAATTGTGAATTTTTTGTTTTGCAACGGGATTTCATTTTGTTTTTCATTTATGTTTTGTTTGTTTGTTTTCTCTTTTATGAAATAAAATAAAATAAAAGAGAAGAGGAAATCAAACACTTGAATAAAACAGACTGCATCGCACTTTTCTTTTTTTTTTTGGTTTCTTTTTACCTTTTACTCTCTTTCCAATTAAATATCATTGCTATCAACGAAGGTGTTGTTGGGTTAGAGAGTACCGACTTTAATTACTATGAAAATAATATCAGATAGAAAAGAGATCAAATTGTCAACATTTTATTTGTTGCTGTTGGCGTTCTAAAATTATTTTGTTTATAAGAATTTGCTGCAGGCTTTTAAGTTAACCAGTTCTACAATAATAAAAACCGAAAACAAAATTTACAAATAAATATAAATAATTGAAGGATCTTTAACTTACGGTGGAATACTTACAAAAGAGAAGTTGTTGAGATTAATTCTCTCTATATTTTTCCTCTACGTATTTTTTTTTTTTAATTTTTAATAACATAAAAACCAGAAAAAATACAAAAGAGAGGCAGTTGTTATTTCTTATTAAAAGGAAGTTCTAAAGTTGCTTTTACAAAACAAAAACCAAAAACAAAACAAAATAAACAATGGCATCGGAGAAAAAGGATTCATCAGGGGTAAATTTATTGTTAATTGTTGTAGAGGAACAGAGGCATTTTGTTTTTATTTTTCTTATATAATTTCATTTTTTTTTCTTTCTCATTTGTAGTCGCACAAACATTTCTTTTATTTATTTTGAGAATATGCTAAGAAAAATTATGCTATAAAAAATATGTACATACAGCAATATATGTACACACATTTTGTGACTGCATGAGCTCAAGAAACATTCTTAAATTTCTCTTTTTGTCTTGGGTTAACAACATCTTCAATTACTCTTGTATACGTTTATAGATTTTGAATTAATAAAAATTTTGGCTGGTCATGTTGAAGTAGATCGGTGATAAAATCACAATCATAAATTTTATTGAGAGAAATTATTGTATGCATAAATGATTGTATTTGAAATCTAGTTTGATTCAATAATGAAAATTTTAAAGTTTCTGTGAATTTTGCGGCTTTTTACAATAGTAACCTGTAACAAGTTTAACTATTCGGTTTTTTTTTGCGATAACTTCAAAAAAGCATGAAATTAAATATTTGAGGAAGTGAACGAGAAAAAAATAATATTTTTTAATTAATTTTAATATTTTGTAAATTAATTAGAAAAATGACGGCAAACCAGCAAGAACAACAAAAAATAAACATCTATATTCTACTTTTTCTTCTTATTTCACACAAGAAGGTCTTGTTATGGAAATTAAGAAACATTTTTTATAAAATAATAGAGCCAGTTAAACTAACAGATAGCCTATTTATTTTGCAGGCCATAAACTTTTTCTTAAAATGGGAACAACACGAGGAAATGCTTTAAATTATGGTTACGGTTGATAAAATTTGCAACTTTAGTCTTAATTTTAATACTAACGGGCGGAAATAAAGGAAGGATTTTGCTGAAAAATTGTGATAAAGTTGCTGCTTTATTATATAATAAAATTTTAAAGAAGTTTCTGCAGCCAATTGAATATTAATATTCTTAAAAGGGAGGCAAGGATTGGTGACGCGAATATATAGCCTAGCCCAGTCAAATGACAACCTCACCGGCGAGTGGTGCTTCCTGCTACAAAACAAACGAGGCTCTGTCGACCTTTCATCTGAAGGTATATTCAGATTGTTTTTTAAAAAACATCATATTTGCGATATTTATAATGATTAACAACAAATACTATAAATATAAAACCTAATGTAATATTTATACAAAAGTTATAAAAATATTATAAAATAACCGAAAATTCTGACATATTTCAACTTGATAATGGTTTTAAAAAAAAATAAAAATTTAATAAATAACACATTTAAATTTAATATATGTATTATCAAAAACAACTGACAATTATTATAAAATATTAATCACATAAGTTAAGAATAATGGTGCAAATGCACACTAAATAAATAGGAACGTTAAAAATGGCAAAATTTACTAATGGCACTTATTTATTTGTTATAAATGAAAAACTATATAATAAAATATAATCATAATATTATTAACTTTATCAATTACACACAACCACTTTATAAAGGAACTAAACTAAATAAAAATATAAACATAACCAATCCATTATGTGAAGAAGAAAATTTTTCCATTGTAAATTAAAAACAAAATTATGATTTATGCGACGAGAATCTTCTATATTTTGGCAAAGTGTACATTTCTGTATTACATACAATTGTATATGTAAAAAGTGTAATGAGATGAAAATTTTGCTAAGAAAATTTCTATAAAAAACAGCAAATTATTACATTAATCTATATTGTATATAAGAAAATGTATTTAATTAGAATTAGATCTATGTAGCTGCAAATATGCTGACTGGAAAAAATTTACCTATGCTTATAGTTAAAATAAGCTTAAATATTAAATAAGATGGAGTTGATGGAAAAAATAAAGAAGAAGTTTAAATTTTTACAATGATTTCATCTTAGCTACAGGAGCAACAATTACTTGATCTTTTCTTCTAAAAAATCATTTAAAAGTTTATAAATAGCCAACTATTTGCAGTTTATAATTGACAAGAAGAATTGATAATTATAAAGTGAATTCATTTAATATATAAGGGACTTTTTAAAATTGTTATACTGAATACACTTTATATAATATTATACCTGTACTATATTAATATAAGCACAACATTTAATGTATACAAAAATAAAAGAGCAGTTCTACATTAAAATATCTTTTGCATTCTAATATCTTATGCTCTTGATGTTGAACAGATGAATATTGAATTAAGTTGAGATCATGTTGAATAATCTTCCAATACGCATTACCAAATTTATATTGATGTTATATTGTAGGATATATAAATTAAAATTAGCATTGGAAGCAGTTATCATATAATGTTATACAAAAAAAAAAATATGAATTTTAAATGGAAGATTTAATAAAGGTAATTAGATGGAATTGAAATCTAATTTTTAAATAGTGATTATTATCTGGTTCATATTAAATAAAAATTCTTTTTGTTTTACTGTTTTAATCTTTATATAAATTTATTTTGTCCATAACCCAACCCCTTGACACCGCGTTCAAATATGTTTAATTTTAATTGTTATGTTTGATATCTTATTATAATTAAATTAATATTAAAATTATTTTTATTTTTAATTCAACAACTATAATATGTGTATACAAAGTAATTGTCGATGTCGAAAAAATAAAATATATTTTCCAATTTCCACAAACAATATTAATAATTAAAAAATTATTATTTCGAAAAATTGTTTTATTATAGATTTTAATTTAAAATTTTATAAAGTATATAAAAGCATTTTATTATTATAAATATTAATTAAATTTTATTTTAATTAAAAAATTTTTAATTTTGATTTTATTAGATTTTGGAACATTTTTTTCTTCATAAAATATTTCGTATAATTATAGAATTTAACGAAAAAAAACCGTAAAGGAATTAAAATTATTTATTTTTTTCCAATTTTCATATTTAGGTGGGGCTACAAATAGAGGCTCCAACTCCAATACCATCAGATAATATAATTTTCAATGGAAAAACTTTAATAAGTTTACCACAACCTCTAACATTAGAGGAGAAAAAATATTTATTAGCTGTGGAGCGCGGTGATTTGGCAAATGTTAGAAGGTAAGTTATTCTTTTACAATAAAAAAAATTATAAAATTTATTTTAATTTTTATTAACAATTTCCTATTCTTAAATGGTTTAATTGCCAAAATAGATTTTGAGCATAATATGGAAAATTTTCCGTATAAGTCCGGTTTAACATATTGTTCTGAAGATTTTTTAGTATTTAAAATTAAATGGCGAAAGTAAGCCACTCAATGAATTTAACCTTTACCTCTATGAAGTCACCTCTGGCGTGACAAAAATATTTTTCTCTAAAACTCTATGGTCAGAGTTTGACTGGCACCAGAGGGGACTGGCGTGACAAAACTGTTATTCATGCATGCGCAATTCAATTATTGTTAGTATTGAGTCTATTCTCCAAGTAATTACTTAATACCTAACATATGATATCAAAACCAGAAAAATTAAATCAGAGTTGGCCGAGAACAAATTAGAAAAACAATTATAGTACCACTGCGTGACAATTTCTTTTATGTCTGCAAGAAATAAGTTATCGGGTATTGAAACCCTAATCGTGTATCTCGCTTTCTACTCACTTTTTGTTCACTTTCAAATTAGAATTCTTAGTTTTCCTAATGGATATTTGATTTTTTTAATAAAATTAATCATTTTTGAAATTTTTTATTTTAAATTTAGATCTTAGAATTTGTTCACAAATTATCGACTGAACGTTTCACTTTCAAAAATAGTGTGAATAAATTTTGTGTGCATATTAGGAAAAAGCCAGATAGGCAATTCCGAATAATTCTTCTCACTGGAAAATTACGTTATACAAGTATACGATATTTACTCATTTTCTTCTCACTTGAAGTAAAATAGTGATATAGACGATTAGACCCTTAATTTCCAATTTTATCATTATCATCGCCAATGCAAATTCAGTTCATACAAACTGATCAAATATTTCTAATATGTTTTATAGTTTTTACATTAAACTTTCAAATTTTTAAATATTTTGCTTAAATTGCAATTTACAACACTCTTCTAATAAAAAGTCGGTATATTTTCTAGGAATTGGAGAAATACAAAATAATCCTATGTATAAACTTTTTCGAATACAATTTTTAACTTTTCAAAATGAACTAATAAAGCTTACAATTAAAATATTTACATTAATCCGGACCAGATTTTTGGTTCCAGTAAAAAAATTTTTTTACCAAATTTATCACACCCTTGTAATTTGACATGTGATTATTAGACTAAGTTCATAATTTGCTTTCCTTTATTCTTTAAATTGGTAAAAAAAATTTAAATAAATCTCACATATTTTTTTACTTGTTTTTATGTTTTTAACCCTTTCTTGTATTTTTGTGGTTAGTTTACCATTTTGTTTGTTGCTCTCTTGTTGTTGTTGTCTTTAAATTATAGGAAGGAAAAAATTTGTCATTATAATTTATTTTATATTTAAAATTTTGCCAACGTGTTCGGTAGTCGATTTCCTTTTATTTTTTGTTTATTGTTTTCTTAAATTTCAGAGTTTTGTAAACAAAATTTAATTTTTAGCATTTTTTTTTTTAGAATTTCAGTTTTTTTTCTGTTCCAGTTAATCCTTCTCAAATTTAAATGAAATTTAAATTTATTTCTCTCTTATAACATTTTTTAATTCATCTCACGCATTTGAGACGACAAGTCCATAAAGTTAATGTTCTGCAAATAACATAATAAGGAAGTAAGAGAAAAAAAATTATTTTTTTTTTTAATATAAAAGATAAACATGTGCGTGTATCTGTGTTAGTTGGCTTTTAATGCGGGGTATTATAAAACAAGGGTTGTCCAAAATAGAAAGAGAAACAGAAGAAAAAAAAGAGATAAACTTAAAGTGATGGGGTTTATGCGGTTTTGTTTTAATTTTTTATTCCATCAAAGTAATTTTTTTTTCTGTTTTTAAGGATATTATCCTTTATGAAATTTTATACTATAATAATATGTATTTGCGTGAATATTCATTTAATGTCCTTTTTTATACTGTCTCATAATTATGTCATATCATGCCAATTTCCAATGTTTTCTAAATGAGATTTTTTTTTGTTTTTGCTGTTTTCATTATTTTTCTTGTTACAAAAAAATTATGTTACAAATATTTCGATGGTTTCTGTTTTGTTTTTGCTCTTTGTATTACACAATATTATGATGTCCTTTTTATCCTTTTGTTTTATTGTAATGTTATTTTTGTTTGGCTATTTAGATGATATGAAGATTTTTTTTTTGTTTTGTATTTTTGATTGCGGTTATTGCTGCGTGCTTTTGTTTTGAACTATAAAACAAAAGAACATTAAGTCGTTTATGTGACAAAATATAGAGATGTCATTCGATTTTGTTGAGAACAGACAACTAGGCAATGACATTTCATTTTCAACAATATTTTAGACATTTTTCTCTCGTATATATTATATAATTTCCTTTTATATATGTATATTATGTATAGCAGTTATTATTATACAATAATGGGATTTTTTTTTTAAATAGAATATAAGGAGAAGGATAAATCTATTAAAGTTAATGATTAGACAATTTGTTTTATAGATGAGTGTGTATGTTCGTACATTATTGGTTTTGTCATTGTAATAAAATAAATTGTTTTTTTTTGCTATTGTCTTTTATTTTTTCTGTTTTTATAAAATCATTTCCTGAACAAAAAAAAAATCAAATTTCGATAAAATTAAGCAGAATAATTCCAATATTTTTAAAGTTCTTGTATTTTAGAAAAAAACAGAAATAATTTGAGAAAACTAAAAATTTAATTTAAGAAAAATTTCTCAATTTTTTTCAAAGAATTGAACAAGGTTAAAGAAAAATTGTGCCGAATATGATTGCATATTTTTAGGATAAAGAAAATTGTAAATTTTTTAATTTTTTAAAAAATTATTTTTACCTTATTTTATTTAATATTTTCTCTAATTTTTAATAATTTTCCCTCTTATTTTCTTTAACAGAATTATACAGAAAGCAATTAGAAAACAACATCTTAATATCAATTGTATGGATCCATTGGGAAGACGTGCATTAACATTGGCAATTGATAGTGAAAATCTTGAAATGGTTGAATTATTAGTTGTTATGGGTGTTGAAACTCAAGATGCATTATTGCAAGCGATAAATGCTGAATTTGTTGAAGCTGTAGAATTATTACTTGAGCACGAGGAATTAATTCATGTCGAAGGTGAACTGTATGTAAGTATTTATAGCACAATATATTAAAGTACATAAATAAAGATATAATATAGCTACATTATTGTTTGCAATATATTGAAAGTAGAGTCATACGCTTCAAAAATATACAAAATTGTATTAATAGTAACTTTTTTATATGATTGTCACGTCACATATACGTGTATATTATATCATGTATATGTAATCAATTCGACATTAAGATCTAGAAGAAATTTTAACGTTTTTTTCTTTTTCTTTGTGACAAAAAACTTTTCTTTGCTTATTCATATTGGTTTCTTGAGTTTAACTCCATCTGAGAAGATGTTGAAATATGTTTGAAAACTTAATATAATTTTATTTGGCAAATATTCTTACATTTGAAATTTTTCTTTTTTGTTTTCTTTGTTCTGTGTGAATTCTTTTTTAAATTTTATATTCATGTCGTATCGTCAGGATTCCTTTTTTTGATATATAGAATTATTTTTAAAAGAATCTCCCAATTCAAAGAGTAAAAGTACAAAAAATCAAATGAGATCAAACAAATGGTTTCGAAAGGAGAACATTTCACTTTCCAAGCAAAAAGCAAGTTGTTAACAATACTCTTGAAGAGTAACTATTGAAAGAATAATTTTATGGATAATGTTCGAATAAGACGATTAAAATTAGGTCAGTTGCAATATAAAGCATACAAGCTCATGGCTTCGAAGCAATAAGTAATCAAAAATTAGACTTTGGTAAATTTGAAACTTCGGAGATGATGTTTAAATCAAATATAACCTTCATATCAACAAAGTCTTAAAATTTCAAACTTATTGTTCTCTTTCTAAAGCATAACTTACGCTAAGAATTTGTAAAAAACATATCCTAAAAATTGATTGCAAAAATTCTCACCAGCTGACGCCATTTTGTCCAAATATTAAGTATTTCGCAGTACAAGAAAGAAGATCATATCTTTCTTTGCCGGCCTGTATTCTAAAATTGCCTGTTCCAAACTTTAAGGAGCCGTAGTTTTTAGAGCTACAGATTCCTCAAAAATTATCTTTTAGAGAAATAAATTTTTCAGAAAGAATTATTTGTGTATATTATAATAGGTTTTTATGTAAAAAGTAGATATTGAGTCTAGTTTTACTCAATATTCACGAACGGATGCACGTAAGGATGTATTGAAACTGGAAAGCAAATTTTTTTTCATTTGCATTGAAAATGTGCTAAACAAATGGGTATAGATTTATAGAATAGAATATTTTGAAAAGAAAAAATCTCAGCGATATTCGATTCTTATTCAATTCAATACAATTCAAAACTACTACATGTTGACAACTGGATGCATTTTAATTCAAAATTTTTGTATTTTATTTTTACACGTATGCTTATTTGTATATAGAGCTGGCAAAAAGTTGATCTGAATACATCAAGATTTACCCCAGATATAACACCTCTGATATTAGCTGCTCATAAGAATAACTATGAAATTTTAAAGCTTTTATTGGATCGTGGTGCTGCAGTACCAATACCACATGATGTTAGGTAAATTGAAACTATTTAAAAAAAAAAAGAATAAATAAAATTGTAAAAATTTTTAATAAATTTTTTTCTTCTTGTCATTAGATGTGGCTGTGAAGAATGTATTAGAATTTCAAAAGAAGATCCACTAAGATTATCTTTAGCTCGTGTTAATATGTATCGTGCTTTAGCAAGTCCATCATTGATTTCATTAACATCAGCTGATCCTGTATTAACAGCATTCAAATTATCATGGGATTTAAGAACATTAGCTTTTACCGAACAGGTGAGAAAATTTTTTTGCATTTTAATTTTAAAATTTTTTTTAGAATTAGTAATGCAAAATGAAGTTTATTTTTTTAAATCAAAATTTTTTTTCTTTAAATCCAATTTCTAAAGGAATGCAAAAATGAATATTTAGAATTACGTTATCAGTGCCAAAAATATGCAGTAAATTTACTTGATCAAGTACGAAATTCAAATGAATTAGCTGTGATTTTAAATTATGATCCGGATGCGCCACCATATGTTTATGGTGATCGTATGACATTAAATCGACTCGAATTAGCAATTAAATATAAGCAGAAAAAGGTACTATTATAAAATTTGTAAATATTTTTTAAATTCAATGAAAACCCAAACTAAGGACCAACATAAAATTTCATTATTAAAATCACTTCCAAATTGCCATCACGACGAATTTGCGTGTGTATTCGAAAAATACATAAAGTGAGTACATTGAGTTTTTATCGGGATTCTAATACATTTTTGGCCTATGTTTGGCGCATTTATCTTTTGTCATGAAAAATGCATTTAAAGTTAAAACTTAAAGTTTGTCTTTAGTATTTACTATTGAAACTCTTTACTCGGATTACGCTGCTTAGAAAAAATCACCATTTAATTAATCGCCATCTTCGATTATTTGATTTGGTTAAGAAGGTTGTAAGGTCTAACAGCGTTTGCATAATTTGTTTGTAGCATAGAGCACAAAATTGACCAGCTATAGACAGAAACAAATTCACACAATAATGAAATAAAATAAAAGAAGAATCACTGGCCTGATTAGTATAATATCCAGGACAGTGGTAGAATTGTAAACGAAGCGATGATAATTTCTTAAAATCTAATATGAGCAACCAATATAATAATAATTACAATAAAAATAAAATAGAATTAAAAAACAAAACCTTATATTAATATTTATTTTTTTTACTCTCCTTTTTTACTATTCTCATACACTATAAACTGTACACATAAAATATATGTGTATAGTTTGTGGCTCATCCAAATATACAACAATTATTGGCGTCAATTTGGTATGAAGGTGTACCGGGATTTCGACGTATGAAACTTATAGATAAATTATTAACAATTGTTAAGGTGGCTGTGTTATTCCCATTATATTGTGCAATGTATATGATTGCTCCAAATTGTCAAACTGGGAAGTTAATGCGAAAACCATTTATGAAATTTTTAATTCATGCATCATCATATTTATTCTTTTTATGTAAGTATATAAAATAAAAAAAAATATTTGAGTTAGAATCTTTGAATTGAATTCATATTCTCTAGGACATTTTTAAATAGGATGCATAGTGATATTTTTAAATAGGCTGCACAGAAGTAGAATTTTATATTAAAGCTGCAAGTTAAATACATTACAAATAGCTGATTTTTGGTTCAATAAAATTCATTGAAAAAATTAATTTATTATAAAGGAAAAGAATTGTAATTACGATCAACTCCTCTCCGTTTAAAACCCAATATAATAAATAAAAATAGAATATGGATGCTTGCGATTCTAAGACGAAAGATTCACTAATTAATTAAATATATGTATGTGCCGTTTTTGAACAGAATCTACAGTTTGCGAATTCGGCAGACATTCGTCCTAAATATAAAAGCTTCTGATATTTTGTTCACTTGTACAGTTTATTGAAGATTTTATTTAAATTGAAATGCAGAAACTTTCAAAAAATAACTGAACACAACTGTTTGTATAACATCAAATGTTTGATGTTCTTAAATAAAACCTCAAATGTTTATGTACTGTGAATCTAACTTGCGCTAATCAAGGCTCTCATCAATTGTAAAAAACTCCCGGTGTTGTTATTATTATTTAGAAATACGAATTTTCTTTAAATCTTTATGTTAAACACTTAAACATGAACTTGCTATTTATTTATTCAAAAAATTTCCAGTTCAAATTATTTAGATTTCAAGAGCAGTCAACAGTCAACATATAATTAAAAATTCAGTCAGAATAAGTCACACATTAACACAAATCCGTTAATATTTTATTATTGTGCATGTTTTCTGCTTTGCTAATTTCAATATTTTTCTATAATAGTTTTGCTCTATATTTCAAGCTGAAATAGTTTTTATCACAAATATTTAATGAGCATTTTAATATATTCGTAGTCGTAGTATGGAAAGGAAAATATTTTTAATTAATTTTTTTTTTTAATCGTATATTGCAGTTGTCCTTATTTTGGTATCACAGCGAGCTGAAGATGATGTTATAAAAATATTTGGTACTAAAGACATGAAACGTAATTTAGAAGAAGAAATGAAACAGAATCGTGGCAAAGGTCCAACTAGTCTTGAAGTACTAGTATTACTATATGTTTTTGCATTTGTATGGGAGGAAATACAGGAAGTTTATATGCAAGGAATAAGAAATTATTTACGTAATATGTGGAATATTATTGATTTTATACGAAATTCACTATATATGAGTGTGTTTGTATTAAGGTAAGTTATTAAAAATTTATAAATTGCAGTATGTGTAATTTAGTTTATGGTAGATATTTTATGTATGATAAAATTTAATCATGAATGTCCGAAAATTTTATAGATTCAAAATTGATTATGTAATTTATGTAACGAATATTTCTATTGTCTTTGCATTTAACAGAGTATTCGCATATATTCAGCAAAGAACTGAAATATATAGAAATCCGACAACAGCTTATACACCAAGAGAAAGTTGGGATGCATTTGATCCACAATTGATAGCAGAAGGATTATTTGCAGCAGCAAATGTATTTTCAGCTTTAAAATTAATTCATTTATTTTCGATAAATCCACATTTGGGACCATTACAAATATCTTTAGGTCGAATGGTTATCGATATTGTGAAATTTTTTTTCATTTATTCTCTAGTCTTGTTCGCATTCGCATGTGGTTTAAATCAATTGCTTTATTATTTTGCTGATTTAGAAAAAAGTAAATGTTATAGTTTATCAAATGGTGAAGCTGATTGGATTGGTAATTCTGATGCATGTATGAAATGGAGACGTTTTGGAAAGTAAGTTAATAAAAAAACGCTAAGTAATCGATTACACAACAATTTAAAATTTCTAATTGGCAGCTTATTTGAATCATCACAATCATTGTTCTGGGCAAGTTTCGGTATGGTTGGATTAGAAAATTTTGAACTAGAAGGAATAAAAGCGTATACTCGTTTCTGGGGATTATTAATGTTCGGTTCATATAGTGTGATTAATGTGATTGTACTGTTGAACCTTCTTATTGCAATGATGTCAAATTCATATGCAGCAATTGTGGTAAATGAAAATTACAGTTTTTTTTTTCTAATAAATTATAAATTTCTTTATATACACACATATATTTCTATAAATTCAATATTAAAATTATTTCACGTTTTTCTTATTCATATTTCCTTTATTTTATTGTATTTGTGGAATATTTACACGATTTCATATGCTTTTTATTTAATAACATGTGTAGGAACATTCTGATACTGAATGGAAATTCGCAAGAACAAAATTATGGATGAGTTTCTTTGACGATAGTCCCACATTACCTCCACCATTCAATATATTTCCATCTGTTAAATGGATTATTAGAATATTTAGGAAATCGAGCAAAGAACTTGCAAGAAAGAAGTCTGAGGTAAGATTTTTTTGTATGTGTATACAAATAAATAAATAAATAAGCAGTCTTTACATAAAATCGAATCGAATTTATATTCTACTTACGAATTCTGTTATAATGTAATATAGGGTACCTACATTATTATATTTCACCTTTATTAGATTTTATAGAAAAAAATAGGAAAATAATGGTAAGGTTAATGCCAAATACAACGAGGCATAATTTATTAGAAATAATATAGAAAAAAGATTTGTCAGGTTGCTGTTCTGTTTTGATTTTTCATATAATTTTAAAGGATTCGATTTTTTGTAAATATATTATTGTTATCCTTATGTCAAATAAAAAAAAATGTATCAATTTTATTTGCCTTAAAAAATTTCTCTATTTTATATTTTGTGCTTTTTCAATCGAAATTATCAATGTCTTCCTATAGAAAAGACGTGAAGCTGAACGTGAGAATCAGTATATAAATATTATGAGAGCACTTGTTTGGCGTTATGTATGTGATCAGCATCATAAATTGGAAGAGTCTGCAATAACTGAAGATGATATCAATGAAGTTAAAAACGATATTTCTACATTGAAATTTGAGTTATTAGAAATTTATAAACAGAATGGAATGGATATATCGTGTGCATCACAGAAAGAACAACGTAAGTATATGAAAAAGATTTAAGGATGTATTTTAATATTCACCATTCCGCAAAAAATAATTTTTTTTTGCGGAATGGTGAATAATATTTAATTAATTTATTTGAATAATTTATATTCTATTGTAATAGCCGTTCGTGCTAAGCGTGCTAAGGAATGGGAACGACGTTTAATGAAAGATTTTCAAGTATCTTTGATTACTAGAGATGATGAAGAAAATAAGGAAATTGATATGAATGTTTTAAATTTAAAACAAGAAGCACCACCAAATGAAAATCCAAAGGAGAAATTTATAAGAGTTGCTCGTATGGTTGCCCAAGAAACAGTAGCTCATAAATGGAATACTGTTTTAAATAGTGTTTCTAAAGATTCTCAAATAGGACGTTGTTGTAATGAAGAAAGTTTCCAAAGTCAAATGAATTTACAGAAGGCAATTGATGAAGCTCAAAGGTAATAACTATTTTTGTATGAATGTTATTAAATTATTTTCAATAATTTAATTATTAATTTTAGAATGATTTTAACTACCGATCCAAATCATTCTGAAAATACAAGTCCAGTTGAATTTCATGATGAAAAATCAATTACATTATTAGGTTTAATAAATAAATTCTCTGAAGAAGTTGGAAGTGCTGTTAATCGTAGTACATCAAAATCGAAAAAAGATGAAAAAAGAAATTTAAATCGTGAAGAAAGTAAAGATTCTAATACAGGAAAAATTATTATGTCAAAAAATACTACTGCAAAAACAGTTGGTGAATTAATTCGTTCAATTTCACCAAATCCATCAAATTATAAAGATTTACAAAGATCAATGTCACCACCAATATTATCTGATAAAATGGCTTCAGCATCTGGTTATCAAAAAGTCAATGGATCTACAGTAATTAAAGGTAAAAAAGAGATTGAAATTGTCTTATCACCCGTTGAACTAGATAATAAGAAAAATGGAACAGGGAAAACAGATTTAAAAACAATGAGAAAAGCTCCACCACCACCACCAGGAAATGATAATACATTAAAAATCAATGAGAATAGATTAAGTGGTGCACGTTCACCAGAAATTCGTTTTTTAACATTACATGATAGCAGTGAAAATTTGGTACAACGTGACACAGATTCTGATATTAGTTCAATAGGACCAAGTAGTCCAAGACCAGGTGGTAATACTGGTAGTGATGCTAATAGCAGAAGAAAGGGTTGGTTATAAAAAAAAATATGAAAAAAAAAAAAAAACAATTTAAAGAATTCTTTATTTGATATTTGTTAGTTAAAATTTACATATATGAAATTTATTATAAAAATCTATAAAAAAAAATTAGATCTTACTTTATATAGCTACAAGTTAAGAATCAAAAGGCCTTCAAACATTTAATAAATATTTCTAAATGTAATTTAATTTTAGAAAGAGATTTTTAAATTTATATTTATTTACATACGTATAGTTAAAGAAATCAATAAACTTGTTTATTACTATGGAATTTATAACAAATTATACCAAACTCATTAATTGTATAAGAATAAAAATTGGACTTTAACAAAAAGACTTGTTAAAGATGTTGGATAAAAAAGAATATTTCGTTTAATTTTTATTACTATTGGCATTAGAAAAAGGAAATCGAAAAAATAGTTGAGTAAAGTGTCTTAGTAAGGTGAGTTTATAATTTAACACATAATTTGTTTTTTGATTTTGAAGAAACTTGATTTTAACAATATAACTTTCTTATTTTTATAAATTTTAGTACAAACTAATTACTTTTCAATTAACTTTACTGACCGCTCCTGATCTTAAATATTGAATATTACATTGCTGAAAATAGTCCAATTAACTATTTTAGGTGTATCGGGATGTAGAAGAAATGTTTTACAAAATTGGAAATAGTGAGGCAGAGAGATAATTCTCATTATTTACTTACATTTTAATATGATAAGGTTTCGTTGAACTTAATATCTTCAAGTGCTAGGATTGTGGCTATTTGATATGCAATTTTTGTTGGAAAACTTTTGAGCATTTGTAGATTTGTATAACTGGACAACAATGCATTATGTTTTGAGCTCCTAGAACAGAAAACATTATTGTGCTTAAAAATACATAAGGGTAATTCAGAACATTATAAAGGAACCTATTTATAAGCCAAAATATCTCATTTATTACGCGTATACATTATGAAGAAATTAGTAATCTGCCAGATAAAAGTTATAGTCAATATCAGATAAAATTTATAGTTACCTAAAAGGGAAAGTTTAGTTAGTTAATTTCATGTTCTGATTAAAATACGACTTAATTATGTAGAACGAATTTCTACTATCATATAGGGTATTTTATAAAATTAGCTGCCTGTTAAATGAGTTGTCTCATTCCACGTCTGTTGTTTGAAATTTGTGATTAGCTTACTCTAAAAAATTATGAAATTTTATTTATTAGGTTTTATTACTGAAAATTATTAAGAAAAATTAAAGTTTAATTAAAAATTATTTGAAGCATTATGTGTTACAGTTATTGCTGTTACTGGTATTATGTAGTACAACCGGTTTTTAATGCTTTTAATTATTTAATGAGTCGAATTTCTGTAAAAGAAGCCAGCTCAATCATGAAGAGAACTTATAACGCCTTCATTTTACAATACTGCATGAATTTAAGTTCCTCTTTCACAAATTTATTTGATTTTCTTTTTTCACACTTTCATTGTGTTTTATTTCATTATTACATTTAATATACACATTAAATGTTTCTTAAAAGTATTTTAATTGATTTTAAGAAACGCAATATGTTATCCCTTATATAGGACACAAAAGAGATTATCTAATTAATTTCAGAATGAATTACGTACTAATTTAAAAATATTTTCACCAATTACAAAATCTAAATGCTTAAATTTTTTTATTAATATAATATCATTAAAAAAACTTTTATCTTTACACATTTACATACACAAACGTAAAATAATTTTACTTTTCATAATGCATGTAAAATAAAAAATAAAATGATGAAAAATTTCTTTTTGTAAATTTTTCAACAAATCATTAAAAAATTAATAAAAGCTCATGGCACAAGAAAAAAGAGACGAAAAAACCACAAGAAATTTTTTTCGTTTTTTTCAAAAAATCTTTAAAATCTAATTTAATGAACTCATATTTTAAGAATATGTTCCAATATTATGAAACAAAGAATGTAAATTTCATGGCAGCTTAAAAATTTTAAAAAGAATAATAAAAATTAAAAATAACAAAGAAAAAACAAGAGAAAAATTTTCATCTATTCATTTCCGAAGCATTACCCATTCAAAAAGTCATTAATGAGCTCCTGTTGTTGGAAAAAACAAAGCAAAAACCATAAAAAACATAAAATCATTTTATCGCTCTTTAATAAATTAATTTTGAAAATTTTTCAGTAAAAATTATAAAATATTTAAAAAATTAAAAAACAAAAAAATTTTAAAGAATTTTCCAATCAAGAATCAAAAATGATGTTGGATTTTATTTGGATATAACAAGGATATAACAAGGATTTTATTACTACACAATATCCTTAATATGTTTATGTATATATTTAAATATTACTATATAAATTGACTTACATGCACACATAAATAAAATATAAAAGCTTTTTAAATTCTCTTCCTTACACTTTAGTACAAACACACAATCGTGTATTTGCATCCTGTTTAAATCTTTTAATATTTTTTTTTTATTAAATAAATATTTTCTTGCACTTAGATTTACTTATATAATATGAGCATATACGCTTAAATGATAACACCGGAGAAAAATATGAAGTATAAAATTTAATTGTTAATTAAATTTAATACGTTCATTTTGTATTCTTTATTTGTATACAAATATGTTTTGTACTGTAAAATCAAAACGTTTTAAGAAAACAATTAAAAAAATATTGACAAATTGAAATTTAATAACGTTAACAAATCAATGAAGGACGTCTAGGCATATAGTTTTTAAGGATTAAGAAGCTTCAACGGTGGATTTAAAAGTGATAACATTTTTTTCATGAAAAAACTTCAAAGCAACATTTCCGAGAGCTTAAACAACAGTTTCGCAAAATCCTGTTTATATACTAAAAATTTCATTTGTTTAAGAATTAGCTTAGAGTACCAAAGAGAGAAAAGATGAACTAAAAGGCCATTTTCATGCATGTTGATCTAAAATAAGTAGGGTACACAAAAATTATACCAGGCGATGTCTCAACTCGGTAAAAACAACAAAATGTATCCAATTTTGAGGAAAAAATGTATTCAAAATGTATCCAACCTCTTAAAGTAGGATTATTACACTAAGTCGTCTTATTTCGTACGTTACAAATTAACCAATAATTAATTACAATTTGCTTTAACCAACAACGTGAGTTTTGTTATTTATAATAAATTCTTTAAGAAATCTCAAACAACCTTTATTACTTTTTAAATGTAAAAGTTAAGGTCAGAAAAAACGTATGAATTATGTTCTGTATGTTTGATTTTCTGTACGAAGTATGTTCTGTAGATGTTGAACAATCCGGTATTTACAATTGTCTAAACATTGTGGATTTGAATAAAGGAAGACACAGTTTCCTTTAATTCAAATGTATTTTCAAATGTGGTCAATTTCGGCATTTTGGCAGATTTGAGTGCCTTTGCATCCAAGCCAAATTTAAAGCAAAAATGTATCCAAATGGATACAATTTTATCAAAGTGGGAACGCTGATAACAGACCTTCGCCTTATAAATAACGAACAACAAAATACACTTTTTAATATTTGCTTAACTTGACTTAAAACGTTTCGGTATTTATATATAGTTGCTTTTATAAGCTCTATCAAGTAAACCATGTATGTACTTCATAGTTATTGCAATAAATAATAAATTCGGATCAAATGAATAAGTTCGTATAGTAGCACGTTTCACTTGAATAGGTGAAGTACTTTTTTTTTTAAAAAAAAAAATTCTTTTACCCAAGTTACGACATAAACAATTTCTGCATATGCTTGAATTCGGAAACTAATTAGATTAAAATTTTTAAATATTTTTATGTAACAATAAATTTTAATGTTAATATATTGCTTTTGCAGAAATTTGAAAGGAAAATTTGTGAGTTTTGAAAGGCGATATCATAAGAGAACAGATTGTTGAATAAATTTTCTTTTAACAAAACTCATTACTTATTAATGTCCAAATGAGATTTTGTAAATTTCAAATTTGTAAAGCTATAAGTAAAAAAATGTTTAAAAACACCAATAATTTCAACAGCAATTTTACCATTGTAGCGTTAACCTTTTCAATATTGCTATGAGAAATAACTTTCTCAAGAACATTCATTTGTATACGTAAAATTTCAGTTTTCTATTCGAAAAGCTATGCAAGACTATGTATAAGCCAGCACAAGGACATATGGAGTGACAAATGAACAGAATAAAACTAATAAACACATTTTTTTTCTAATTGTTTTTAAAATGTGCTAGAAATATAAAACTAGTATAAGAACGTACGACGTGTATATTTAAAGAATTTTGAGTTTTGCGAAATATATTTTGTTTTTTATTTTTTTGACTATTGAAGAGCACAATAAGAGTGAGGACTGGCACAAGTTTGTACATACTTATATATATATTATTCATAGTATTTTTGTTATAAAATAGAAATTATTTTTTATGATATTATAACAGTAATAAATTTCTCATCATATATGAGGTAAGCAATGTTAGTTACATAATATAAGCAATATGTACGTTATATATACAAATATATTATATAGAATTACTCAATTCCATTTCTCTTGTACAGAATATAGATACACGAACAATACAATTACATACGTTAAATACACAAGTATTCACATTTTCTATGATTTTCCCTAATTCAATGATGTATGTATATACATGATAACTTTCCAGGAATTGCTAATTAAAAAATTAAAAAATTAAAGAAAAAATATTATGTAGATCATTATATTCAGAATTAGGGAGTTTTCATTCTATTCTTACGTTAACTTTAATATTTTTACGAGTACCAGAGTGCGCGAATGTTACATGCATGGTTTTAAACACTTGCTACATTATGTATAAGTTATAGATATGAAGTTGAAATAGTATGTTAAACGCAAAAAATTTTTAAATTTTTTTCACCATGGAATTTGTTCAAAAAAAGATTCTTTAAGGAAAATTATTTTTTAATTTTAAAATATTTTTTGGTTTAGCTACAGTAATGTACTTAATTACTGTTAGTACAGTAATCTTATGTTGCTCATTAACAGAAAATAATATCGCTGTTTTAATTTTGTTTGGGAAATCGATTGGATGTCAAATTTTGTACGTTTTACCTATAGATAATGCAGTATATACTTGAAATATTTGGGTTCGATATTTTAGAATTCTATTATTTCGAATATTTAGAGTTATTTGAGTTATTCTAGCTTTGAAGATTCTTTCTTATACCACAAATATTTTATACTGCTTTTCTCTTATTTCACTGAAATAAATTTTTAAATATCAAATTCTGGATAATCTTTCGTTTTTTTTTAAATAGTGGAATTGCTCTAAATTTTCTGTGAAACTGTTAATAAAAGCTCTCACAATTAGTAAAAC